AAAAAAAAGTAAAATCCTTTTAATGTAATGTTATTTCAATATTAAATTAATTTAATTATAAAAGAAAGTGTTCTAAAGTGTTTTTAAATCAAATGCAATGTTATTCCTAATGTCCGGTTCTAAAGCAGCCACCAACCACAGACAGAAAATGGTAAAATTATTGTTAATAGTTATTGTTAATAATAAAATCTATAAAAAATTAAAAAAGAAGTGATATAGAATATATTGAATAAGAGTCAATGTGTGGCTTGTGCTCCGGCCGGCCACTTTTTGCAGATTAAGTTGGGAAGCAAGAAAATAATGCCTGTTGCCAGGTCTTAGTAGCCCTGGCAGTCAAATAAAGTTTTAAAAAGGTATGTACAATGTAATATTTTTATTTTTACTTAGTTTTTTGTTGGCTTTTGATTTCTAGTCAAAACTGCAGGGAAATTATAGGTATCCAAAGAAAAGGTCACAAAAGCCTAAGGCGCATTAAAAGATTCTTTAACAAAAAATTCGAATTTCAAGTAAAAAATCAACTTTGAAGGAAAAATTTATATTTTTTTTTAGCAAAAAATCAGATTTTGAGAAAAATAATTTTCAAAACTTTTTGTAAAAAAAGTAATTTTTTGAAATCTTTTGTGAAACCTTAACTTTAATGCTGACAAACAATTTTAAATATTTTTATAAATCTGATTATAATTAATTTTCAAAAAAAATATATTTATTTAACAATAGAAAATTATTCTTACATAAAACACTTAAAAAAATGACCAAATACATAAATATAAATTTTTAACGTAAAACTATTAAAGTTATATTTTTGCAACCACCAAGGACAAATACTATTTAGTTACTTCCGTCGAATTACTAAGAGATTCATAAAGATCACCATATTGACCCAAATTATCTAAATCATCATCACTATCCGAAGAGGAGGAAATATTATTACCGCCCAATGATGCCGCTATAGGAGGTCTAAAATATATAGTGGAATTACTATTGAAACGTTTACGACCGATATAATATTTTAGGAATTTTTCAGCAGGTTTTTCGCCTATAACACCACTTAAATGCTCTTTGGTGATGGTAAAATAACCATCACTGGTAAAACTGTGAGCTGGCGCCATAGAACGGTTGTGTGGTGCATAAATTAGAATGCCTTTATGAGTCATTTGATGATTTGGGTTTAGTGTGGCATCTTCCTGTTGTGAGTTTTCTACAAGTTTTTCTTCCATAGTTATTGCAGGCGGTGGTTCAATATTTGTGGTCGATGTCACCAGTGTACAATCACTATGTTCGTCATTTTCAGCTTCGGCTATAATTTCTTTTGCTGGAGTTTTTCTTAAACTTAAGCTGGAATTTATTTCTGGGGAACGTATAGTAGTAGAGGTCACCGTTGTACTGGCTGCAGCCTTTTTAGCCGATACCTTTTTATCCGCCGCTGTAGATGAGGTGGCCTTTTTCTTGGTAGCTTTAATAGATTTTTCCGCTTTAGTTTTTTTCGTTTTAATTTCCTTAGTAGCCGTTTTCTTTTTATAAGCTTCATCATTTGCTGCTGCTTCTAGACTGAGCATTTTATCAGTAATTTGTCTATTAAATGCCTTACTCTTAGAAGATAGAGCAGTGGAATTACAAATAACTTGTGTTTGTGTAGGTGCAAAAAAGGTTTCTTCTGTTGACGTAGTTGTTATAGTAGAACTATTATTTTTTGTTGTTGTTGTTTTTAGAGGCACCGTTTTGGGTTTAATAAATTTATTTTCATCGTCACTAGAAATTAATAATTCTGCTTTCAGTTCTTTCTTTACTTCTATTAATTTTGGAAACTTTTCCATAATTTCATCTTCTTTATCAATGTCTTGGTTTTGATTTTTGTTCTGTCTTTTTCGAGTTGTTTGATTTTCTTCTTTTTCTTCAAATTGCTTTTTGTTCTTCCTTAATGGTTTTGTGGGCATAATTTCATGTTTTTCTTTTTTGTTATTTGTAGCCTCTTTATTCTGTTTGATTTCCTGTTCTTTTTCATATAGTTCCTTAGATGCTTCTATGGCCATTTGTAGTTCCAGCTCAAAGGTTTCATTTTCACAGCTGTTGGCTGCATTTGAAGTTGTTTTTGCTTTTGTAGTTTTAGATTTCTGTTTAGAGTTTTCCTTGGTTGGCTGTTTAGAATTTTTCGTTTTAATATTTTGTTTAATTGGAGCAACTTCATCTACTATCTCCATGTTGCATTTAGAGGACTTTGAATACGAGGCTGAAGTTTTAAGGGATTTTTGCGGTGAAACACAATTTTCAACATACCATTCTTCTGTGGAAGTGTCAGCAACATGCCTGGAGAAAAGAAAGAAAATCTAAATCATTCCATTTCTGTATATAGTTTCGACTATAATTCTATATATAATCTCGAAAGTAGTTCTGTCTATAGTCTCGAATATGGTCTACTCAAAAGTCTTGACATTAGTTTAGTCTAGTCTGTTATCTTGTCTATAGTCCCCAGTATAGTCTTATCTATATATTGTGTATAGTTTTGGAGTATTGCCTATAGTTTTGTGTGTAGTATTGCTTATAGCCTTATCGATGCTATTGCCTACAGTCTTGTCTTGTCGAAGCTTTGCTTCGACCATAATGCTATATATAACCTCTACTCTAGTCTACTGTACAGAGTCGAAACTAGCCTACAGTGTTGTCTATTGTCTCGTCTATAGTTAGGTCTATAGTCTTGTTTATAGTATTGTCTATAGTCTCGTCTATTATCTTGTCTGCAGTTTAGTCGACAGTCCTTATTTACTTCAAGTTAGTAAGTTAGTTAAAAAGAGGGTTTCATTACAGCAAATCAGTAAAAATGCACCTCTGAACATCCAGCCTGTTGTACGCTCTTTTGAAACCGATTTTTTCGAAAAAACTTTTGAAAATTTTGTTAAAGTTTATAATTAAAACTTACTTGTAGTCCTCACATAATTTTCTCTCATTGCAGCAGTGACACTCCGATTCCCGTCTACAGGGTCTATTGTCACTATAAAATTTACAATTTCTTTTCATAGCATGACGTCTTTCGCACACACTGCCAAATGAAGCCGAAGATGAGGATGATGAGGAAAATGATTTTGTCTGGGAATGTGTGTAGTAGTACATGCGGTTCATGCGAGCCGAAGTCATTTTTATGGCACTACGTTGTGAGACTCGTTTAACCATATCTTTAGACGAAGTCATGGGTGTATATTTATTATGACTCGGGGTACAGTGGTATTGATTACAACATGCTGGCAAATGTTTACGACGCATACGATGATGATCTTCATCATTATAATAGTCAGAATCGGATGAAGAATCCATGGCGCTGCAACTATTACTATAGCTACGTTTGCGCAAGACTTTACGTCTTTCTTTGTGTGAGGAAGAGGATGATGGTGGCGCCATCATCTCATGTTTACGAGATTTTTGCAAACGTGCCAAATCGTAATGATTATGATGATATTCTACTTCATTCATAAATTTACGACGATGACGTAAAGCCTTAAGATGGCACTCATCTTCTGCTTTTTCACAGGCATATTTTTCTCTTAGGGCCTCTCGTGTGCTCTTAACCATGCGATAAGTTTTAATCATGGTAGTAGTGGAAGCAGCATTTCTCATTGCACCAGCTCTACTGGAACGAATATATCTAGCTGTCTCCCCCGACTGTAAAGAATCATCAGAATCATGGCTTATATCTTTGCTGCTAGTACCACGATTTCTACAAGATCTGCCAGCTCTGCCACCATGTCTAGTTGCTGACGATATTGGGCAATCTCTTGTGTAGTCTTTTTTCTTGTCTTGGGGTAATGTATATAGCATAGTATTGTCACCTCCATACAAGGAATTGTGTCTATTTAACCAACTGCCGACCTTATCTTCTATCTTCTGTTTGTCAAATGTACTGAGTATCCTTTCAAATCCCGACTCCTTTAACTGACGATTATGTTCATTTATAATGGGCATAGTTTGATTGAAAATATCCAATAGTTTATGCTCCTCGTTATTGGCATTCTCCGGTAGGGCCAAGGTTTTATTATTAAACAGCAACGAGAATCTTGTAGTATTTGTAACATTCCTTAACACATCCGCATCCAATGGTACTTCTTCAAAATCTTCATCTTCCATGGAGGCCAATTCTTCAAGTGTATCATTTTCATCACATTCCGGACCATAGATGTCCTCCAAGTTATTAATGTCTATTTCTACTAAAGTTTCTTTTTCGGCCACATTCTAACAAAAAAAAAACAAAGAAAAAATTCCAATTGTTAAAGATATTTTTGTAGAAATATGCATAGGTATTCCATTAACTTACATCTAAAAAACTGGCCCAAGTCTTTGATCTTTCATAGGTTAATTGTTGCAAATGTTCCAAATCAAATAATTTGGAATTCATAATGAAAACATTTAAAAGATTTTATAAATATTTATTAAAATAAATGCACAAAACTTTTCAACAATTTTCTTTCTTTTAAAAAAGTGGCGTCATACAGTGTTGTTTTGAAATAGTACTAAAATATAAAGATCAAAATCACAGAGTTGTTATAACAGATTAACCCTCGAATGATTAAAATATAAATGTAAAATATTAAAAAATTGCCTTAACAAAATTTAAAACGTTATGAATGGACCATATGATACCCTACACCAGTGAGAATGTTTAAAATGAGGACTTTTTTAATAATAACCTCCCCACTATAGTCGAATTTAAACTGTTTTTATTAAAATCGCAGTCAAAAGTATATCTTTCAAAATCGTCTTAATTTTTTCTATTCAAATCTCATTTAATTTTTCATTTCATAACAATCTAGTCGAATTTTATTGAATTTTTTAAAATTTTTTATAAATTAAAAAAATATATGTATGTTATAGTTTATAATTATAAAAATTAGAAGTTAATTAAATGAAATTAATCCCAATATAGCGTTGTGTTTATTCCAACCATCTGGCATCTTTCTAAATGCAACAGATGACTTTTCTACTACTAAACAAATACAACCCTGTGTTGACAATTTTTATTTTATCAGCTTTCATTTAACAAGAGTTTTTTACTGCAGATTACATTATGAAAGACAATTTTAATTTTACAAAAAACGTGTTGAATTCATTAAAAAACATAACAGAAAATCTAAAAACTAAATAAAAAGCTCAAAAACAAAGTAAACTACCGAAATAAACACAAAACGACAAATAATTGCACTTGAAAAACGAAAATCTAAAAATAACTTTTTTTTAAAAAAGCAAAAACGCATCCAAAGACCTGCAGAGAAAGTGTTTGTAAAATAACAAAAACAATAAGAAAAATATTGCTAAAACCTTAAAGGGAAAGGTCAATAAATTGTCTTAAGGAGAAAATGTTTCTAAGACGTTTTTTCTCCTCCTTTGCGGAGCCTTTAAATCAGCCGGCAGATTTAATTGGTTGCCTACAACAAACGCCACAAGTTATAAGCAATGGTTTTGGTAGTGCAACAGGAGCTGCAGTGGGTCTAGAGAGTTTAGCCTGGTTGCAAAATGTAGCACCCTGTTTTCCTTTAAAAGGCGAACAAATACAAGTCATAAATGAACCCAAACATTTCTATGATACTTTAGTCCAGAGAAGTGCATCAGCGAGGGAACGTATAGTATTGGCCAGTTTGTATTTGGGTACCGGACAATTGGAAAATAATTTTGTGCAAACTTTAAGAAAAAGTCTTCAACAACAGGCTTCTTTAAGGGTAAATGTTTTGTTGGATTTCACAAGAGGCACTAGAGGAGAAACAAATTCAAAGACCATGCTGTTGCCTTTATTAAAAGACTTTGGTGAACAGGTGCAGTTAAGTCTCTATCATACACCCAATCTAAGAGGCATGACGAAACGTTTAGCTCCCCCCAGATGGAATGAATTATTGGGTCTGCAACACATGAAAGTCTACTTGTTCGACGATGCGGTTTTGATTTCAGGAGCAAATCTATCAAATGATTATTTTACCAATAGACAAGATCGTTACATACTCATCGAAGACAAACCCTTGGCCGATTTTTATGCTGAATTTATTTCCCGGGTTCAGGAATTTAGTCTTGCTGTACGTCAAGATTCTGAAGTGGGTCTACATCGGAATTGGAAGATTTTACCCTATGAGGGAACCAAGGAAGAGTTTATTAAACGTGCCAAGAAAAGCATTACGGAATTTGTTCAACAGGCCTATCAGACACAACAATTGGCCTGTAATAGCTCAACAGAGGCAGACACTTGGATTTTTCCTTTAATAGAAATGGGTCAGATTGGCATACACCATGATAGCGTGGTGACAAAGAGACTGCTGTCGAATTGTGTACAAGATTCAAGACTTAAATTGGCTACTGGTTATTTTAATTTGACACAAGAATACATGGATACATTAACGCACAAATGTTTAGCACAATGCAGCATACTAATGGCACATCCTAATGTAAGTGGAAAAAATAATTTGTGAAGCTCTATAGTACTTCAGATTTGATTTAGATTTTCCTTTTTATTTTAGGCTAATGGCTTTCAAGGCGCCAAAGGACCAGCTGGTGGCATTCCAGCCGCTTATACATTAATTGCCAAAAGCTTTTACGAAAGTTTAGTGCGTAGAAAACAGGATCATCGCATAAATTTCTTTGAATATGAAAAACAAGGCTGGACTTATCATGCCAAAGGACTTTGGTATTATCTACCTCAATCGAATTTGCCCAATCTCACCTTAATCGGTTCCTCGAATTTCGGTGAACGTTCAGTAAATCGTGATTTGGAAACACAAGTTTGTTTAGTAACAAATAATAAGCGCTTAAGTCTTAGTTTGCAGCATGAAAATGAACGTTTGTTCAGTCTGTCATCGACAGCTGAAAAACAAATAACCACTAGACCGGTACCGCGTTGGGTGCAGGCAGTTGTTAGTTTATTTAGAAATTTTTTCTAAATAATTTTAAAGACATTTTATTTGATTTACCATATGATGAACAACAATATTTGTTAATGTAGTTTAGAATTCAATTGAAAATATTTACTTAAATTAAATTAAAAGATAAAAATGAAATGCCTTCGCAAAATACTTCCTAATTGTAAAATGTAAAAGATATTTTGTCATTTAATAACAACTCCTTTTCATTATAGATTGTACTTTGTGTGTGGATTTATTAATACCTCAAGTTAACGCTTATTGCTTTTTTGTGTTTTTTTAATTTTTTTTTTTGCTTAATTGAGAATGCGTTTTTATTTTTTAATGCCAAATATGTTTAATTATTTGTTTGTTCTAGTTTACAAAATCTTATAATTGTTTGTGTAAATATATACTCTGGGTATTTATGTTTAAAAAGAATCAATGAAAATATACAATTTTTGGTTTAAAGAAATAACATATGTATTTAAAATTGTTTTATTTCAAACAACATTTTTAATTTGTGTTTCTTGAGTTCTGTAACGAAATTTAAGCAAATTTTAATTAAACGCTGAGTTTATTTAATAGTTGGGCTGCTTTTAAAATACTCAATAAAGGGGGTTTCAATTAAAAAATGGTTTTTAAAAACTTGTTAAATATTTATTTCATCCGTTTATCCATTTAAAAATTATGCATTCAATTTGGAAAAAGTCACTCAAATTGGAGTGATATTTTTAATGTTAAATTGTAAACTCTGTTTCCGCCAAACTGTTACATATTATTACAACTCTGTGAGTTTATACACAGGCTGTATTAATAAATTTAGCGATTTGTTTTAATTTAGCGTTTTTTTAATTCCAGTTTAAATAACAATAATTTAACATAAAATTTTCTAAAGGTTATGAATGTATAGAACAGAAAACAAGTAAGAATGTATACTATACTATAGACTAGATTATAGACAAGACAATAGACAAGATAATGGACAAGACTATATACTAGACTAGACTATTGACCATACTATAGACTAGACTATTGACCATACTATAGACTAGACTATACTATAGACTAGACTAAACTATAGACTAGACTATACTATAGACAAGACTATTCTATAGACTAGACTATACTATAGACTAGACTATACTATAGACTAGACTATAGACTAGACTATAGACTAGACTATAGATTAGACTATAGACTGGACTATAGACTAGACTATAGACTGGACTATAGACTAGACTATAGAATAGACTATAGCCTAGACTATAGACTAGACTATAGCCTAGACTATAGCCTAGACTATAGACTAGACCATAGACTAGACTATAGACTAGACTATAGACTAGACTATAGACCACACTATAGACTAGAATATAGACTAGACTATAGACTAGACTATAGACTAGACCATAGACTAGACTAGACTAGACTATAGGCTAGACTATAGACTAGACTAGACTATAAACTAGACTATAGACTAGACTATATACTAGACTATAGACTAGACTGTAGACTAGACTGTAGACTAGACTATAGACTAGACTGTAGACTAGACTGTAGACTAGACTATAGACTAGACTATCGACTAGACTATAGACTAGACTATAGACTAGACTATAGACTAGACTATAGACTAGACTATAGACTAGACTATAGACTAGACTATAGACTAGACTATAGACTAGACTATAGACTAGACTATAGACTAGACTATAGACTAGACTATAGACTAGACTATAGACTAGACTATAGACTAGACTATAGACTAGACTATAGACTAGACTATAGACTAGACTATAGACTAGACTATAGACTAGACTATAGATTAGACTATAGATTAGACTATAGATTAGACTATAGTCTAGACTATAGACTAGACTATAGACTAGACTATAGACTAGACTATAGACTAGACAATAGACTAGACTATAGACTAATCTATAGTCTAATCTATAGTCTAGTCTATAGTCTAGTCTATAGTCTAGTCTATAGTCTAGTCTATAGTCTAGTCTATAGTCTAGACTATAGACTAGACTATAGACTAGACTATAGACTAGACTATAGACTAGACTATAGTCTAGACTATAGACTAGACTATAGACTAGACTATAGACTAGACTATAGACTAGACTATAGACTAGACTATAGACTAGACTATAGACTAGACTATAGACTAGACTATAGACTAGACTATAGGCTAGACTATAGACTAGACTATAGACTAGACTATAGACTAGACTATAGACTAGACTATAGACTAGACTATAGACTAGACTATAGACTAGACTATAGACTAGACTATAGACTAGACTATAGACTAGACTATAGACTAGACTATAGACTAGACTATAGACTAGACTATAGACTAGACTATAGACTAGACTATAGACTAGACTATAGACTAGACTATAGACTAGACTATAGACTAGACTATAGACTAGACTATAGACTAGACTATAGACTAGACTATAGACTAGACTATAGACTAGACTATAGACTAGACTATAGACTAGACTATAGACTAGACTATAGACTAGACTATAGACTAGACTATAGACTAGACTATAGACTAGACTATAGACTAGACTATAGACTAGACTATAGACTAGACTAGACTAGACTATAGACTAGACTATAGACTAGACTATAGACTAGACTATAGACTAGACTATAGACTAGACTATAGACTAGACTATAGACTAGACTATAGACTAGACTATAGACTAGACTATAGACTAGACTATAGACTAGACTATAGACTAGACTATAGACTAGACTATAGACTAGACTATAGACTAGACTATAGACTAGACTATAGACTAGACTATAGACTAGACTATAGACTAGACTATAGACTAGACTATAGACTAGACTATAGACTAGACTATAGACTAGACTATAGACTAGACTATAGACTAGACTATAGACTAGACTATAGACTAGACTATAGACTAGACTATAGACTAGACTATAGACTAGACTATAGACTAGACTATAGACTAGACTATAGACTAGACTATAGACTAGACTATAGACTAGACTATAGACTAGACTATAGACTAGACTATAGACTAGACTATAGACTAGACTATAGACTAGACTATAGACTAGACTATAGACTAGACTATAGACTAGACTATAGACTAGACTATAGACTAGACTATAGACTAGACTATAGACTAGACTATAGACTAGACTATAGACTAGACTATAGACTAGACTATAGACTAGACTATAGACTAGACTATAGACTAGACTATAGACTAGACTATAGACTAGACTGTAGACTAGACTATAAACTAGACTATAGACTAGACTATAGACTAGGCTATAGACTAGACTATAGACTAGACTATAGACTAGACTATAGACTAGACTATAAACTAGACTATAAACTAGACTATAAACTAGACTATAAACTAGACTATAGACTAGACTATAGACTGGACTATAGACTAGACTGTAGACTAGATTATAGACTAGACTATAAACCAGACTATAGACTAGAGTATAGACTAGACACTAGTCTAAAGACTAATCTGTGGGCTACTTATCAAAAGTTTATAAGATAGAAAAATTACCGATATGAAAAAGAACTTAATTTTCCATGCTTGTTGGAAAATGTAGATTTTTTCCTCTTATTTTTTTCAGGTATAAAATTTTTGAATTTTTCAAGTTAAATTCTAGACATAACAATCTAGCGTTTTTTCACTTACTATTTGACGTTTTTCTACACAAAGGTTGGCAACATAGTGTGGCCAATGCACAATTCTCTTTTATAATTATTTGTTAGTTTCTCTCGATCGGACTAAGAAGTTAGTTGTGTTAGCGGGTAAAGCGCGTGTCGTTTAAATTTTAATGTTTTTATTTTTCTAAAGGTAAAAACAAACGCGTTTTCGTGTTGTTAATACAAAATAACTGTTAAATTACATGATGTTTATCATTATTAAATAAAAGAAAACGAATTAAAATTAATAAATATCTATAAATTAAGAAAATATATATTACTAAAACACATAAATTGGCAAATGTGTAATGAAATTATTACAAAAGTAAAATATTTCTAAAAGTGTTTAGTGTAGTGTGTTGTTAATTAAAACATTTTATTATTAATTAAATGGATACTAAATTACAATTGGATTACTTTTGTTGGAGTTAAACTATAATAATAAAGGTATAATTATTACTATTAAAGTGTTAAATAATTTATGTATTTTAATTGTTTTTTTTAATAATTAACACTTGTTTTTTGTTGTTTAAACAATTATTCCTTTTTTTATTATTGCAAATTTGAATACAAAAAAATGTAAACAATCTATTAAATGAACTTCCTTTTATAGAGTTTTTTTGTTATTGTTTCTCTCTCCCTCTGGCTCACTCTTTTGTTTTCATATGTAGTTGTTTTTGTTTACTTTTTTTAAGTTTGTTATTGTTTTTTGAATAATTACTGTTATTGTCATCTGTCTGTTTATTTATTATTCTTATGCTTTATTGGATTTTGCAAATTCTGTTGTCAAAATAATGAAAAGTTATTAATAATTTTTAAAATTGTTTTAAAGACATTTTGTTTATTTTGATTTTCTGTGTTTATTAAATTAGCAAACTTTTGAAAGCATTAATTAAGTAACTAAAGTTTTTGAATATTATTAGTTTAGTTTGGGGTGAGGGATTGGTTTATTAAATGACAGATTGTTTTAGGATTTTTTGAAATATTTTTGATAATTACGGAAATTTTATAAAATCTTTATTGATTTTTGTTTAATTTAAAGATTTTATTTATTTATTTAATAGTTTGGAATGAAAGTTGATTGTATTTATTCTAAAGTTGTTCAACTCTTTGATACCCAAATTGTATACCGATTGGTCCAGTAATCACGATGATCTATTAGATGATCTAGTATCAAGTTTTTAATAGCATTTGGTTTGTTAATGAACATTATTTCACAAATCTGTATATTTTGTAACACATACTAAATCTACATAAAATTTGCATAAAATCTTTAATATTGAAGATTTATTTTGTAAAAAATTATTTTATAAAAATTTCTAGATGACCTATTGTCAAGTTTATAAAGCATACTTATTCATTAATATTTATGTATATATTTGACCGATCATTCCTCTAGAGTCTAGAGTCTAGACTCTAGACCAGCTGCTTTCAATTGAGTTCGTTACATTTAAAATGACTATAATTATATTAAAATAATTTACAAAATTTCTTTCAAAATATTTCCTGTTTTTTTTCTTCGTCTTTTTTTAACATAAATTTATTTTTAATTAAATTTATCACCTCCCTAAATAACACAAACAAAAACATATCTATACACCAAAATAAAAATGACTGATATATCAAAATGATTAATAAAGTTTTGTCTGGCTCATAAACCTTTAATTTATATACTCTACACGTTTTTACACAAAAATATTTCTTTAACAAAAAAAAAAGTAAAAACTAAATTATATTTAAATTAAATCAGCAATAAGTAGTAAAAAGTAGCGAGCGAACGCTTAAACAAATCGACAACAGTCTGATGGACTGACATAGACAAAACGCATGAAATCATGAAAACATCGATCGAAACTAGACAAAATGAAACACCTTATAATTTGTCTTGTCTTTTGTTGATGTTTTACAATAATTTTTATGTTAAGATTACAAAATTTATAACAAAAAAAAAAAAAAAAAAAAAAAAAATCCAAAAAATTTAAAACGCAATTTTTTTATTTATTTTAAAGGAAGAAAAAATAAATAAAATAATATAAATAAAGGGTGTTGCGGAAAAAGGTGTTATAAAGGGAAATTGCACAATTTAAAAATTTAGAAAAAATTCTTCTTCGGTAAAGTATAAAAGTTTTAAGGAAATATCTGTCAACAGCTTTCTGTAAATCAGTGCCTTCGGCAGGTTAGTAGTTAGTGTTGAAGTCAGTCTGATAGGATGTTATGGGTTCGATTCCCAACAGGTACAGTGGAAACTAACTAACTAACTAACTAACTAACTAACTAACTAACTAACTAACTAACTAACTAACTAACTAACTAACTAACTAACTAACTAACTAACTAACTAACTAACTAACTAACTAACTAACTAACTAACTAACTAACTAACTAACTAACTAACTAACTAACTAACTAACTAACTAACTAACTAACTAACCTACTTACTAACTATTTTTTACTATTTATTGACTCACTCTTTTTACTTTAAATAACTTACAATAAAAACCATTCAATATCAAATATTTTTGATATGCTTATTTTAAAAATAAATCTGAAATAATAAACTTATCATAAATTCAGTCTTACTTTAGAAAACGACCAAATAAATATTGATGATTCATTAAAATAATAATAAAAAAAAATAAAACAAAGAGTCTTAAAAGGTATTTCCTTATGGAAATTTGCAAAAAATAATAATAAAACTGTTGATTTAACCCAGTGTTTGAAAAAAAGAAATAAAATTTCATCTTCCATTTTTTATGACATGTATTAAATTAAATGAAAGTGAAAATCCCTTTATTTATGACAAAGAAAAAAAATTCCAACCAGAAATTATAACTTTCCTTTGGTGGTGGATAAATTGGCCTGGAAACAAAAATCTGTGTGTTTTAAAAAAGTAGTTTTCAAAATAAAGTGACCATTTGTGAATGTCATAAAAATATCATCAACAAAATTGCACATATTGTACACACATGTGTTTATAGTGTGGTTTTTGACTTAAGTAAATGTCAACTATTAATACTTTACTTTAATGGTTTTGACAGCCAGTTGTTGTTGTTTCAGTTATATTACGCAGTCTTATGTACAAGTACTTTATTGTTGTAATTTAGTACCAACTCATGGCGCTTGACAGTTGTTGAAATGTCACTTTTTTTCTTATTTGAGAATTTCTAAGTCTAGGGATTATGTATGTAAATATTATATTAGGTATATAAGCGTGTCTATGTAGAAAATTTCATGAGTGTAAATATTTATTAGATTTAACATAAAAAGGCGTTTTCTCCCTTTATAAAGGTTTAACCAAAAAAGGTTGCATTTTATTAGTTTATTTAGTTTTGGATTGTAAAAATTTATTCTAATAACTTGAGTTTTTTATGATAGTGATATAAATAAAAAAATATGTGTACATTTTTTGGGGAATTCCACAAGAGTTTCCTAATCTTTATAATGAATAGATTATTGGGTTTTAACTTAATATGATTTAACTTATTTACTACAAGACTAGCATAACTCAAAATTCGTTTTTTTGAAGTGAGTACTAAAAAATATGATCCAATTCTTCCTCGTTTAAGCAGCGTGAGTGTTTAATATAACTGAACATGGGGCCAATCATACAGTGCCCAGTAGTTCCTTACGAATCTTTATTAAATGTGTTTTTTCTTTGAAAGATAGGTCCTGAGAATTTTCGATATTCTGCGAGTGTTTATAGTGAATCTCTATAGTTCCGATTTTTTGCCGAAGCAAAAGCCGAAGATTAGTAGAAAAAATGCAAGAGTTCATGAGAGAAAACTGCTTTAGGGAGACATGTTTTAAACACCACTTAGAGGATTTATGTTGATTTCGTGATAGAATGAAAGTTTTTATTACTGTTATAATCATCATTTCATTATAATATAAAGTTTATATAATTTGCAGTTTCCGAATTCGGTCGATTTTGCAAATAATTTAAAATAATTCCTAGTAATTTTTTAATAGAGAGTGAACTCCTTACAGTTAAAATACTAAAAATGCTAGATGTCAAAAAATTTCAATATTTGTTTTGAATTAAGCCTTTAAGTCAAAATTTATTTGAAAAAAACTATGTTCTGATAACTGGGTTATAGGTGTTTGAATTTCAATTGAAAATAGTCTGAAATCAAACTTTTATTAATATAATATAAAATATCTCAGAAATCATTATAGTGACTATAAGTTTCAGCTTAAATTTAACACCCTAAAGCGGTGATAGGCAAATAAATCTCTCATAAGCTGTCTGACTCAATTGCAAGTAATCTCATACACGTATAAAAAACTAACAAAAACAGTCAGAGAGCTCATTTGTCTCTCTGCCGATGCCTGATCTTAACTCAAATTAACACTTTGAATGTTTTCTCTCAGAGAGCTTATTGCTCACTCTCTGCCAATGCCTTTTCTTAACTCAAATTAAAAGTTTGAATTTTTTCTCTAAAATCATTTCTCTATTTTGTGAAAATATCGCTAATTTGGGGACATCTAAATGACGATAAGTTTGAGGAATAACTCTAGCTTAAATTTTAAACCTTAAAGCGGTGATAGGCAAATAACTCTTTTTTATAATCTGCGTGGCTAAGCTGCACGTAAGCTCACATACAATCGTATAAATCAGAGAGCTTATTGGTCTCTCTCTGCCGATGCCTGACATTTACTCAAATTAAAAGTTTGAATGTTTTCTCTAAAATCAGGCCTATTTATTCCCTTTTTGTGAAAATATCTCTGATTTTGGGACATCTAAATGGTGATACTTCTAAGGAATAACCTTAGCTTAAATCTTAAAGCGGTGATAGGCAAATAACTCTCTCATAAGCTGTCTGGCTCAGTTGCAGCCTGCATGAAATTAACAAAATCAGTCAAAGAACTCATTGGTCTCTCACTGCCGTTGCCTGATTTTAACTTAAATAGCAAAATGTCCTCCGCTTCTTCGCTTTCTTTATATCGAACTCAAGTCTCTTGATAGCTCCTTTTTAGTTATTTTCTCAACTCATTTCATTTACCATGGGTCGCAAAAAGATCATCTACTGTACTTGTAGTCTAGCTGATTTTCAGACTTTTTCTTCTCTGAGATCACAAGAAGATTACTACTTTGATTATGAGATGTCTATATGGCGAATAGTTTAGTAGCTTCAAAAACTTTTTATATTTTTAAGAATGATTTTATTTCAGAGATTTTTGATCAAATTGACTCCATTACAATTATATCATCAATATAAATTTAATTAATTTTTTATAACAATTAAAAATTTATTATAATATCTAATTGTCTTGTTACAATTAATCAATGACAATGATTTATTGCAATCGACATTTGACTTACATTCTAGACTTTGGGGATTAAAATACTTAAGAGGATTTTTATTATTTTTGACATTTAAAAACCCATGACAAAAGCATCATGACAACAATCAAAGTGATTATTTTCTCGTTTGTTATTATCAATTTATGAAATTTTGACAGTTTTACAGGCAATACTACTCCCTCGCTGTCATAAATGTTCTTTTAGTGAAAAAGATACTTATTAAAATAATATTTTCTCTTCTTTCTCTTTACAGATACAAATTTTTTTGTAAAATACTACAATATTCTTTTTTTTTTTTGGCAAACTTATGTCAATTACAAAATTTGACATACAATAAATGAAACGATCATTTAAAGATCAAGCTAAATGATCAAATAATAAAAAAAAACAATAAATTTAAATATACTAGTAAATGGTGGTTTTAATTTACAATACACAGTAAAAGTTAAAGAAAATAAATATATATATATTTTGCCCATCAGCACCATTATTTGTCAGTTTTTTTTTTTTTAAATTCATTTTTATATGAATGATCAAAATATATGTAAATGACTGTGTGTTTAGTTAGCCTCAATTATCTTTAATTGTTGGCATAATTTGTCAACAGCAGTGAAATTAAATTAAACCATTTTTCCACCACAATTGAGCAAAAATTAAAAATAAACGAAACGAAACTAAAAATACCAACCATTCATGAGTGAATGAATGGGTTCGGTCCATTTGACTTTTTCGCACAATTGATGACCAACTAGTAAAGATAATTAAAATAAACACGCGAGTTTAAGTTTAAACAAGAAAAATATACAAGAAAACTAAACAAATTAAAAGTCTAATATGAAAAATTAAATTAAAAAAATCTAAACAAAAGTTAATTAAAAAAAATGGTCTCAGCTACTAAATCTTTAAATTGTTTAACAAATAATTATAATTCTTTAAAAATGTTTAATGTTATAAAACAAAAATGTAAAACTTTATACATTTCATCGAATCGCGTTAATAATTTGCAGAAGTTCTTATTGCTAATTTTGATTTCTTCCTCAATTTTTAATACTGCTACGGGTGCTTCATTACATCACAAAGATTACCGCAGTGCGGGTTTATTTGCTTTAAATAATTTTACGGATTTATATGATGCATCATCATCATCCTCCTCCTCTTCGTCGTCTTCTATTAAAACCATGGATTTAACAAGTGTTGAACTGAATAGTATTGATGTGGGCGATTTCGATCCGGCTGCTGCATCAAGAAATTTACAATTGGGTACAAAAGAAAATACAGGTAAGTGAGTTTTTTATAAATTTTTAAGTATTTGATAAAGATCTAGGCAACTTGAAATGTTGGATAGGCCGAGCTCATTGTTACTCTCTGCCGATGTCTGCTTTTAATTCAAATTGAATGTTTGCTCTAAAATCAGGGGTAAATTTTGTTATTTTGTGAAAATAACGCTAATAATGGGACATCTAAATGACGATAAGTTTGAGGAGTAGCGATAGTTTCAATATAACACCCCAAAAGTGGTGATAGGCAAATAACACTCTCATAAGTAGTTTCGCTCAGTTGCTGGTAAGCTCACACACGCATAAAAAGTCAAGAGAAGCAGTCAGAAAACTCATTGGTTTCTCTGCCGATGCCTGATCTTAAACCAAATTAAAAGTTTTAATGATGTTTCCTAAAATCAGGGGAATATTCGGACGTCTAAATGACGATAAGTTTGAGGAATATCTTTAGTTCAAATTCAACACTCTAAAACAGCGATTGACAAATAACTCTTTCATAAGGTGTCTGGATCATGCTGTCTATAGATGCCTGTTCTTTACTCACATTAAAGGTTTGAATGTTTTCTCTAAATCAGGGGTATTTATTAATATATTGTGAAAATATCGCTAATATTGCAACATCTAAATGACGATAAGTTTGAGGAATAATGTTAGCTTAAATTTAAAACCTAAAAGCGGTGAAAGGCAAATAACTCTCTCATAAGCAGTCTGGCCTGTAAGCTCACAAATGTATAAAAAACAAACGAAATCAGACAGAGAACTCATTGGTCTCTCTGCCGATGCCTGATCTTAACTCAAATTAAAAGATTGAATGTATATGCGGTCTTCTGCAAGATTCAACTTAATGACTTTGGAAAAACTTTCTTATTTTTGGCTCTTCCATATGAGAGCTCATACGTTAACTCACATACGTATGAAATACTAACAAGAGCAATCAGAATCAGGGTCTTTCTCTCTCTGTCGATGGCTGGGACTGAGAGCTATCTGGCCGAGATCCACTTTAGCTCACATATGTATAAAAAACAAACGAAACCAGTCAGAAAGCTCATTGGTCTCTTTCTGCTCTCTGACTGCTCTTAACTCAAATTAAAAGTTTGAATGTTTACGCGGACTATTGCAAGATATTAATGTCTTTGGAAAACTTCCGTATGAGAGCTCATGCGTTAACTCACACACGCATAAAAAGCTAACAAAATCAATCAGAGAGCTTATTGATTTCTTTCTCTCTCTCTCTCTGTCGATGCCTGCTCTTAACTCACACTTTAAGTTTGAATGTTTATGCGGACTTCTGCAGGATTCAACTTAATGCCAGTTTCTTTGTGGATAATCACAAAAGTTGGATATAGTCTTATGGGAAAACTTACTTATTATTGGCTCTTCCATATAAGTGCTGTTTCGCTTTTATATATCATCTCATAAGTCTCAATAGTCTTGCCGATTTTCAGCTATGAGAGTGGAAAACATTTCCTTTCCAGGTTCTATACGGATGTCCTTAATGATTAGGTGAGAAACTTTTTCGAAAAATTCATTAGGCGCCATTTTGACGCATACACATGACAATCACAAAACAAGTACTAATGACAAACGCTTAATTTTAAAGTATCAACCGCTTTCCACAAAAAAACCCACCAAGTATCACATTAAGTAAACTAATAGCTATTGTATTTTGGAACAAAAGCCTAAAAGAGGAAATTTATACTTTGATTTTGTCGCTTATTGATCGCCAAAAAAAAAAAACACACACACACAAAATTTTTACTGAAATCCAAAAGATCACTTCAACATAAAACGGATGTTGTTTGCGTGTCTAAAGACCGAAAAAATGAGCAAAATGAGATTAAAATTTGTTTTTCAAACACAAAATTTCTTAAAAATAAAGAGGTATTAAAAAGAAAAAACAGATAAAAATAAAATGTAGAAAAAAGAAAGATAAAAGAATGAGGAGGATCATTTAAAAAAGAACTACAGGAACAGTAGAATTTATAAAATAAACAACGACAACAAGCAGCTGGGGTCTTGAATGCTTACGTTTCATAAGTGTCTTCTGTTTAGTTGTTATTGCTGCTGAAAGAATCTCCTATAAAGGAACTCAAGTAGTAAATGTGGTATTAAATTACCAAAAAAAAAATATATACATATATTTTTATAAAAATATCAACATTAACATAAGAGTTTTTGAAACCGAACAAGTGTATATTGGTTGTTATTTATGGTCTCAAATTAGAATTCCATAAGAAATGAAGTAAAACAAGTGATAAGTAGGTTTGCAACGAATTTGAAGGACCAGCAGCTACATATTTTTAAATATTCTCCATTTTATAATCAGTCCAACTGTTTTCAAAACTTTTAATTTTTGTGTAAGAAAAGCTTCACTAAGTAGTACTAGAGTTTTAGCATTTTATTAAACTTAAAATACCTATTGTAGAGTGTATTTAAGAAAAAAATCAAAACTGCATTATGTAGTACATACATACATACATATGTATATAGCATTTTAAAATATGATGTCATGACTTTGATGGTATCTTCTGACAACAACAGATATACTAAAAAAAACAACCGCAACAGCAACAAAAAAAAAACTAATAAAACCAGACATTATTTATAAAAACAATCAAAGTTTAAAACTTTTTTTCTTTTCAATTCAAAATCATACCAAAAACCAACAACATTTAAACCCCAATACGAATAACTATATAATACAAAAAAACCAAAAATCAATTTGTATGGATATCAATACAACAACTTTCTTTAAAAGGAAGATTGAATTAAATAACTGACAGTCCGTCTGTCTCACAGCAGTATCAATGAATGAATGAAGTTCAGGGTCAATATTATTATTGTATTTTTTATTTTCATTAAATTTATTATTAAACAGCTATTGAACAATTTACCTTATTTGTCGCAGTGTGTACTACGTTTCGTAAAATGTCAATAACTGATAATTTCCGCTTAAAATTTTTTAGGTGTTACAGTTTGTGATTTTTATCAAAATTCAAATATAGATTTAAAAATAAAAACAAGATTTCTTAATATTTATACTATAAATATCATAAAAATGTACATTTTTATGTCTGCTGTAATTTAAAAAAGATTTGAAAATCTCTTTAAATATAGGAAAATAAAGTGATAAGACAATAATGGGCTTACAAATTTATAGTTTTTCTTTTTGTTCTGTTTGGGATTTTAACACGTGGTTGTACGGTGTTCTTTATGTTTGTTGAGGGTATTATGTAAGTAACCCTTTGGTGTTCACAAAATTGTTGAATGAAAATAATCAAAAAGTACTTATTTACACTTTGTTGAAGTTTAAGTTGTCTTCCAGTCAGTTTTTAATAAAGATGACTTAAAAATTCCATAAGAGGAGAATAATCAAAAATGTTCTTGTAGTAGTTCAGTTATAATTCAGTTCTAGCTAAGTTCTAGTCCAGTTCCACTTCTAGTTCAGTTCTAGTTCAGTTTTAGTTCAGTTCTAGTTCGGTTCTAGTTCAGTTCTAGTTCAGTTCTAGTTCAGTTCTAGTTCAGTTCTAGTTCAGTTCTAGTTCAGTTCTAGTTCAGTTCTAGTTCAGTTCTAGTTCAGTTCTAGTTCAGTTCTAGTTCAGTTCTAGTTCAGTTCTAGTTCAGTTCTAGTTCAGTTCTAGTTCAGTTCTAGTTCAGTTCTAGTTCAGTTCTAGTTCAGTTCTAGTTCAATTCTAGTTCAGTTCTAGTTCAGTTCTAGTTCAGTTCTAGTTCAGTTCTAGTTCAGTTCTAGTTCAGTTCTAGTTCAGTTCTAGTTCAGTTCTAGTTCAGTTCTAGTTCAGTTCTAGTTCAGTTCTAGTTCAGTTCTAGTTCAGTTCTAGTTCAGTTCTAGTTCAGTTCTAGTTCAGTTCTAGTTCAGTTCTAGTTCAGTTCTAGTTCAGTTCTAGTTCAGTTCTAGTTCAGTTCTAGTTCAGTTCTAGTTCAGTTCTAGTTCAGTTCTAGTTCAGTTCTAGTTCAGTTCTAGTTCAGTTCTAGTTCAGTTCTAGTTCAGTTCTAGTTCAGTTCTAGTTCAGTTCTAGTTCAGTTCTAGTTCAGTTCTAGTTCAGTTCTAGTTCAGTTCTAGTTCAGTTCTAGTTCAGTTCTAGTTCAGTTCTAGTTCAGTTCTAGTTCAGTTCTAGTTCAGTTCTAGTTCAGTTCTAGTTCAGTTCTAGTTCAGTTCTAGTTCAGTTCTAGTTCAGTTCTAGTTCAGTTCTAGTTCAGTTCTAGTTCAGTTCTGGTTCAGTTCTAGTTCAGTTCTAGTTCAGTTCTAGTTCAGTTCTGGTTCAGTTCTAGTTCAGTTCTAGTTCAGTTCTAGTTCAGTTCTAGTTCAGTTCTAGTTCAGTTCTAGTTCAGTTCTGGTTCAGTTCTGGTTCAGTTCTACTTCATTGTACATGTTTGATTTCTGTTTTTAAAAATCACATCTTGCAGCTAAGATTCCAACATATTGATGGACAGTTGGTTTAGTGTTTAAGTGCCTGCTCTAATAACTATCTGATTTGTTATACACAAATCACTCCCTTTCCCCTTTCCCCCCCATTAACATTTAATTTATGTGTAAAATTTTCCCACATTTTATCACTCCTCCAAGACTTCAAGAGTAACTGGATCACCAATAAAAAAAACTTTAAAATGACAACTTAAATCGTAAAGAGAGAAGCAAAAAAACATCGTCATCATCATCATCTTCCATATGACAAGATAAAGTGAAATAAATTGCAGCTTATATTCGTTGTAATAAAAATGTTGCCCTACACGACACTTAAGATAATTTCTTTCTATCTATCCAACAACAGCTTTTTTTCTTCTTCTTCTTCCCGTTTTTAATGCTATGTTTATATCTCTTAATGAACATTTAAATCGACTCAATATTTGATGGGTTTTGAAAAGAAAACTAAGTAAAAGAAGGAGAAAGAAAAGAAAACAATATTTTATTTATTTTGTATGTAAATTGTATGACTTTATAATCGGTTTATCTATGTTTGTACAATGTCTATACTATACTAT